AGCAACCCGGTCCTACATGAGAGGACTAAGCATATTGAGGTGGATAAGCACTTCATAAGAGAGAAACTGGAAAAAAGGGAAATTTGTATCCCTTATGTCAACTCCAAGGAACAACTTGCTGATGTCCTCACAAAAGGACTTCCGTGTTCGCGGCACAATAAGCTATGTGACAAGCTGGGCATGATAACATCTTCAGCTCAACTTGAGGGGGAGTGTTGTAAGGCTTAAGTGTTCCTTGTAACTGATGTTAGTGGGACAGTTTCATCTACTAGTCCTTTCTTTTTTTTTTCTTATTGTTCTTATCCTAGGATATGCCGCCAGGGGCATACTTGTAATTTTGTCTTTTTTTATAAAGATTAATATAAATAGAAGACTGGCGGCTGCCAGTACTGAGTTTGCTTTTCTTTCTATCATCCGTACCTCTCTTTCTCTCTCTCTCTCTCTCTCAATCACCACAAGCAACAACATTTTGAAATGTACCAAGGGACAGTTAGGGTTCTAGCTTATTGAGGCCATACAAACCCCATAACGAAAATCACCATATCTCCTCCCATTTTCTATCAAACTAGAATTCCTTTTCTAAGCTCCTCCCCTTCAGCTCTTATTCTTCTGGATCTGCATCAAATAGGTGGTAACATTGTTCCACCATAATGAGACTTTAGACTTTGGCTTCTAATTTTTCATTCATCCATTTGGGCATCTGTTACACTGTCAGTTTACTTTTACATTAACAGTCCAGATGACCCCGTCAAAAGATTATTTTTGACCTTAGGACACATTGAGGAATATTGGGCTAGATCATTGAAGCTGATCTTTAGATCTTTTGTTTTTTTTAACTGTTAAGGTCTTGTTTAATCAAAATAACTGGTCTTGTAGGTTAGAGACAAAGTTCTACCCAGACATGTTATTGAATTGATAAAAAAATATCGATTTGATGCAAAATTTGGCATGTGGCTCAAAAAATTCTAACCTTGTAGATGTGGTGTCTTGCTTCTTGTATACTGCACACTTCCCAGCGTACTGCAGTTTGTGATGCCTAAAGCACTGCATTTGATGTTTCTTTGCATGAAAAAAAATCTCAATGATCAAGGCTAATCTTGCATTAATTGCAGAGGTATAGTTGTGCAGTACTTTGGATATGTCACCTACACTAAGGTACTTGGAAGGATATCCTGAACATTTTACCAACTATCTGGTTTGTTGAATACCACTAAATTCCATTCAAGTAATTAAATAAATAAATAACCAATGGTTCTGGGCAGGATCAGAGGTGAGGTTCTCCCTCCAATCATATCCACTTGAACTCCATGCACAGTACTTTTCCCTCTACCCGAGGAGTGGATCCTATTGCCAGAAGCAGCTAAAGCTCTACCTAACAAATCAAGCTACCTTCTTTTAGTTGTTTCCTGCATGAATTCTGTTTGTTGTCTTATTAGTTTAATTGCATTGCACATTAATTAAGTTGCTATTTGTATTCTGATTCTCATGTTATTGTTATAATCCTTCTTGCATTCCATTGTAAGCTGGAATTTTGCTGGTTTTTTTTTACCTTTAGTGTAATTTATTTTTTAGCAAAAAAAAAAGATTTTTTAGCCTCTCTTTTATTAAGGAGGTGAGTGATTATATGTTTGGGAGATTAAGATTGGTGGGTAGGAGAGGTGCTTAACATCTTTGACTCCCAACAAACTAAAGCACTCGTTTAAATCTCAGTTGTCTTTAATTTTAATGGAGTCACTATGTTATGAGTTTTAAAATCTCTATCTGTCTCCTTCAAAATACTATTTTTCAAGTTGGGCATTCCATTTTAAAATACATACAATAAAGATTTTAAAATCCGTAGCTATTGAAAGGAAAAAGGCATCGACTCCTGAAAGGGGAGCTGCTTCCCTAAGCACATCATCCAAGTCACACTGCAGCAGCTAGGAATTGACGTTGACGCCTAGATAAGATCTAAGGATTTCCTTTGCCTGGTTCTTTCTTCATATGTAGGCACATCGTATCCGTTTTGAATTTCACAAAGGTGCTACGGACCATACATACATGAGGATTGATGGGGAACCATGGAAGCAGCCCCTCCCTGTTGATGATGACACTGTTGTAGTTGAAATCTCTCACCTTGGTCAAGTAAACATGCTTGCCACCCCAGATTGCCGATCCAAAAGTATCCAAGACCCATTGGCACCCAGCAGTCATTATAGCGAAGAGGAAGATAGTAATGATGAAGACTCTGAGGAAGATTTAGAGGAGCGGAGGAAGTTTGGAGCAGCAGATACATTCAGAATTCCTGATGAAGTTGATATTACTCATCTTAGTTAAGCTCGACATTGTCATTCATTGTTTTTTCTGTCATTGTCTTGTTTTCTTTTTCTCCGATTGAGGTTTAAATGTTGTCTCCCATTTGTAACATAAGATTCATATTTTTCCCTTTTGTAGAATATTTGATTGCATGATTGATATAAATATGGTGTTCGTAAGCTTTATGGGTGAAGTTTTGATTTGAAACTGTCTAACTATGGGTGAAGTTGATTGCATGATTGATTTCCTTGTCTTGTTTTCTCTCTCTCTCTCTCTCTCTCTTTTGTTGTTGTTTCCTGTAAACCTTCTATTATGGCCTTTCATTTTGCTTCAGATGCCTCTCGCCTCTCGGGCCGAGTTCACATTGGCACCTCACAGAGTGCGCCCAAGATGCACACCCCAGTGACAGTGTGCATTGGGAACATCTCCCATACTTATGATTGGGAGATGTATCAAATGGATGTGCTGTGGGGTGCCAATAGGGTGCGCTCTGTGGGGCACCGATGTGAATTCTCTCGAATTCGGCTTCAGTCAGGGCAAAGCCCTTTCTAACAGCCTTTACAGCCTCGTATTGAGAATATCTCCCTTCTTATGTGCTTTATTTCAAGGGGAGATATTCCCAATGCAAGATCGCAAAAAAAAAAAAAACGGTTGGAATGATGTGGGAACGAACTTGCCCTGATGGTAGCTGATCTCAATTCTCTCAGGCCATGCAAGGGATGCCCCGCTTTATGGGTGAAGTTAATAGCTGTAGACATTATACTAACGTGGAGTTTGATAAATCTGAAGTCTGAAATCTGAAAAGTTAGACATTATGTGTTTGAAATATGAAAATAAGCATAGGTGCTTTTCTATTATTTAGAGGCTCTAAATCCATAAGTTTATTTGTGATGGATCAATCCTTTACTATTTGAAATTCATTGATTTTACTATTTTATCCCTAGAACATACTATTTGAAAATGTTGAGTTCAATTTACATTATTTAAAAAAAATAATTTTCAACTTCAAAATAATATTGAAACAATACAAATAAAAAATAATAAATTAATAATTAAAAATTACTAATTAATAAATGAAATGATTAAAATTTAAAAAATAATTGACTATAAAAATATTAAAATAATTAATAATTTACACAAATAAAAATAAAAACAATTTAAAAAAAATTAAAATAATTAATAATTAGTAAAAATATTTAATGTAATCATTCATGGAGAGAGAGAGACGAGAGAGAGAGAGAAGAAGAGGAAGATACGATTGAGAGAAAAAGAAAAACCTACTTTTGGTTGCCGCCAGTTCATTATTTATATTAACTTAATATAAAAAGAATGGAAATTACAAATATGCCCTTGGCGACATTCCCTAGAAACAAACTAATAAGAAAGAAAGAAAATAACTAACTGATAGCATCTTAAGAGGACAACCCACTAACAACAACTATAAAATAACAATTAAATAATCCTCACAACACTCCCCCTGAAGTTGGGCTGAATATGTCTATCATGCCCAGCTTGTCAAATAACTCATTGTGCCGCGAGTATGGAAGTCCTTTTGTAAGGACATCAGCGAGTTGTTCCTTGGAGTTGACATAAGGGATGCTGATTTCCCTTTTTTTCAATTTCTCCCTTATGAAGTGTTTGTCCACCTCAATGTGCTTGGTCCTCTCATGTAGGACAGGGTTGCTGGCGATGTTTATGACTGCCTTGTTGTCACAGTAAAGAGACATAGGATTATGAACAACTCTAAGCTCCCCTAGAAGATTATTTAGCCAAAGGACTTTAACCACCCCATGTGCCATAGCTCTATATTCAGCTTCAACACTTGACATTGCTACCACACTTTGTTTCTTGCTTTTACAGGTCACTAGATTTCCTTCCACAAATGTGCAATATTCATTCGTGGACTTTCTGTCATCCACAACACTTGCCCAATTAGCATCTGTAAAGACTTCCACCTTTAGGTGATTATGTTTACTGAATAGTAGACCTGTTTCAGGATAGTTTTTCAAGTATCTAAGAACTCTCTTTACCGCTTCCATGTGTGGTTTCTTAGGAGAGTGCATGAATTGGCTTAGAACCCCAACTGGATAGGCAATGTTTGGACGGGTCATAGACAAATAAATCAGATTTCCCACTAACATTTGGAACTGTTTCACATCTTTCAGAGGTTCACCATCATAGTCACCCAACTTGTGGTCAACATCCATGGGAGTATCTGCTGGCCTTGCACCTAATTTGCCTGTATCCTGTAATAGATCAAGGGTGTATTTCCTTTGAGAAATGAAGATACCATTTTCTGAGCGGGTGACTTCAATTTCAAGGAAATACTTCAGGGGACCTAAATCTTTCACTTCAAATTTAGATGCAATGAATTGTTTCAATTTTTGTATTTCTAAACTCCAACTTCCTGTAATGATGATATCATCCACATACACTATCAATACAGCAACCTGTTCCTGACATCCCTTCACAAAGAGTGTATGATCAGACTGACATTGTTTGAAGCCCATCTGCTGAACTACCATGTGAAACTTACTGAATCAAGCTCTGGGAGATTGTTTTAAACCATAAAGAGACTTTCTCAGTTTGCACACCTTATTTTCACTTCCCTTGGCATAGAATCTAGGAGGTTGAACCATGTATACTTCCTCCTCTAAGTCACAATTCAAAAAAACATTCTTTATGTCCAGTTGATGCAATTCCCAGTCAAAATTAACAACTAATGACAGGAGAATCCTAATTGAGTTCATCTTAACTACTGGAGCAAAAGTCTCATCATAGTCAATCCCGTAACTTGAGTGTACCCTTTGGCTACTAATTTTGCTTTGTATCTTTCAACTGTTCTGTCTGCCTTGTGTTTAACTGTAAACACCCATTTACACCCCACGGGGTCTTTCCCCTTTGGAAGATCCACCAATTCCCAAGTTTGATTTTTATGAAGAACATTAATCTCCTCCTTCATGGCATCTGTCCATTCGGGGCATTTTAAGGCTTTTGCAACATTTCTGGGAACATGGATGCAATCAACTACAGATAGAAAGACTTTGTATGAGGGGGAAATGTGATCATAGGAGACAAACTAGGTAATGGGGTGTTTGGTAGTGCATGACCTGACTCCCTTTTTTTGAGCAATTGGAATGTCAAGGTCATCCACAGTAGGAGTAGGGGTATCAATAGGTGCAACAGGGATTGGACTTACCTCCTGGGAGTCTAACGGCGTCGGTTGCTCAATGTTTGGCTGCTCCACATCTCTATCACATTGCTGATCTCTACGAYGTGTACRTTGGAAGACACGAAAGGGAGCAGGGTCCGGAATAGAAGGAAGAGAGACTTGGCAAACCTGAACCTGCTTCTCCTCTTCYACACTACTACTCTCCCCCTGAGGAGTAGGGAAGAATGGCTCAGACTCAAAGAAGGACACATCCACAGACACAAAGAACTTATGACTAACGGGATCAAAGAACCGATATCCTTTTTGAGAGGAGGGATACCCCAGAAAGATACAAAGAATGGACCGAGGGTCTAACTTACCTCGAGACGGAGACAAATCATGGACAAAGGCACGACAACCAAACACTCTCATGGGAATGGGAAATAAAGGGGACTGAGGAAACAACAACTGATGAGGGGCCATGTAGTTCAGCACTTTGGAGGGCATGCGATTRATGACATAAGYAGCTGCAAGTATARCATCCAYCCAAAACCTTTTTGGAACATTCATGTGTAACATCATCCCGTGAACTACCTCAAGGAGGTGTCTGCTTTTTCTTTCTGCAACACCATTTTGTTGTGGTGTTCTG